TTCTGCCACCTCTCCATTCAAAGCCTCAGCATCACCTCCGGTAGTACCAGGGCCTGTGTGTCTCTCCTGAAAGAGGGAATGTCTTGCTGTATCTTCACATTTAAAGATGTGTTTTTGTTTTGCATTTCCTTTGTTCTACAACATGGCCTTTACTTCAAGCCACCAGTGCCATCTGGGCCTACCCTCACCCCAGCCATCTTCCCAGCACTGGAGGAGGACTGCTTTGGCTCCCCTTGCTCAGAGACAGTGTGTCCGTCTAAGGGATGCTCAGGGCATAACTTGATTATAGTTGATATTCAGTTTGACCTTTTTTTTGTTGGACAGAGTCTCACACTCTGTCACCCATGCTGGAGTGCAGTGGCGATCATAACTCACTGTAGCCTCTACCTCCTGGGCTCAAGTGATCCTCCCACCTTAGCTTCCCAAGTAGCTGGGACCACATGCATGTGCCACCGCACCCAGTTAATTTTTTTTTTTAATTTATTTTTGCATAGGTGAGGTCTTTCTGTGTCACTCAGGATAGTCTCGAACTCCTGGCCTCAAGCAATCCTTCCACTTGGCCTCCCAATTTGCTGGGATTATAGGCATGAGCCACCACACCTAGTCTGATAATTTCACCTTTTAACTTGAGAACCAAGCTGCAGGTGAGATGTGACTCTGTTATAAAAACAGAATGGCCAGATACAGTGGCTTACATCTGTAATCCTAACACTTTGGGAGGCTGAGGCAGGCGGATCTCTTGAAGTCAGGCGTTCGAGACCAGCCTGGCCAACATGGTGAAACCCCGTCTCTACTAAAAATACAAAAACTAGCCAGGTGTAGTGGCGTGTGCCTGTATCCCCAGCTACTCAGGAGTCTGGGGTGCGAGAATCACTTGAAACTGGGAGTTAGAGGCTGCAGTGAGCAGAGATCATGCCATTTTACTCCAGATTGGGCAACTCTGTCTCAAAAAAAAAAAAAGTGAAAGCAGGAAGAGAGAGTTTCTCCTGAGTGATTCCCCTTTGTGGTGACTACTGTGAATTTTTACTTGCCTGAGCCCCAAAACTTGGTCTCTTTACCCTTTCTCCTGTTTAGTGCCAGCTTCTGGCTTGGAAACCCATGTTCACCAGCTCCTCAATAAATAGATCTCTATCAGGAATATCTACCAGGGAGCTCCATGCTTCTGAAAAGCCCCTAGTTCAAGATGACCTTTAAAATGGCTAGCACCAGGCCGGGCACAGTGGCTCACGCCTATAATCCCAGCACTTTGGGAGGCCGAGGTGGGTGGATCATGAGGTCAAGAGATCGAGACCATCCTGGTCAACATGGTGAAACCCTGTCTCTACTAAAAATACAAAAAATTATCTGGGCATGGTGGCATGTGCCTGTAATCCCAGCTACTCAGGAGGCTGAGGCAGGAGAATCACTTGGACCCAAGAGGCAGAGGTAGCAGGTAGCAGTGAGCCAAGATCACACCACTGCACTCCAGCCTGGGCAACAGAACGAGACTCCATCTCAAAAAAAAAAAAAAAACACTGCAACATAAGATAAAGTTTAAAAATATACAATACATTGGGAGAAAATATTTTTAACATAGATAATGGCTTAATGTAGGGATAATAAAAATAATACTTACAAATCAATAGAAAACTATAATGAAAAAATACACAAAGGATACGAACAAACAGTTCACAGAAGAGAAATACAAATGAATAAACGCATGAATCAGGGAAGTGCAAATTCAAGCAAGCAACTCTTTTCAACCATAGATTGGATCCACCTTACACACAGGTTGAAACAAGATACCCATTTTTTGCCCATCAAAGTGGCCAGAATGTGAAAGATTAATAATACCAGTTGTTAATGAGGGTGAGGAAGACAGGCACTTTCATTAATGTAAATGGACCCATCATTTTTAGAAGGCACCCTGGCAGTATCTACAAAATGTATAATACATACACCTCTCAGTTCCATCACAGTGTCTTCTGTATGCCCTCTCATCAGGCTTCCTAGGAGAGAGCAAAAACTGCCATGTTTCTTCAGGGCCAGGCCTAAATTGGCATGGCAATCCTTCTGCCACCTTCTGTAACCCCAGACAAGCCACAGGCCGGTCCAGATCACAGGGAGGGAATCTGGCTACTAGCAGAAGATGGAATATGTGGAATGATTGGCAGCTGTATTTTCAGAAAAACTACCACATACATAGAAACAGCATATTCCTTCATGTACCATTTTAGCAGCATTTCTTCAGTGTTTGTTTATATAAATTTCAAAATATTTTATTGTTTTGATCCGTATTTCCTTCTCAACCTAAACCATGCGACTGGGCACCTATTCATTGTTTTTTAATTTGTTTCTTGTGGTCTGTGGATGAGTTATATAAACAAACAACTATACATTGAACCCCACCGTAGTAAAAGCAGTCTAAAAATTCAATTTCATAAACTCTGGTGTTGTATTATCATGAAGTTAATTAAAAACAGTGTTTTATCAATAGGTGGTATTATAAAATTAAACCTTGTGAGACTTCCTCTCTTTATAATTGATCTTACATTAAACTGAGAAAGTCCCAAGTGATTCTGAGGCAATTGATCCCTAACACACACACACACTCTTGAAAAATATTGCACCCCATTCTGAGAATGGGGTTAGATAGACTGGAAAGTGGACAGTAGCCAAACGCCAATCATGTAATAGCTGAATTCACATTATTGTGGCACATATTATTTTTAAATATATTTTTGTGTATTTTAAAAACATTTGTCCTTTTAGATTTACTAAGTGTGTCTATATTCTGTTCATTGAAGCAAATCTCCCCTAGGTCTGTAATATATGTCCAGTGCTCTGGGGATAGAGCAGGAGGTGAATGAGCAGCGGGAGGGGTTTGCTTGAAAAGAGCTTCTAAAGTAATCCAGCCACCTGGGTGCTAGGACAGAGCTTTGCATGGAGCGGGGTCAACTCCCTCAGCAACCTGGCTGGAAGTGAGTCCTGAAAGACAAGTAATAGCCTGGTCCAAAGAAACACTGGGTGTGAAAGAGCATTCCAGTCAAAGGAGACAGCTTGAGCAAAGGCTTCTCAGATAAAAGTAGTTCAACACCATGTGCACCTGTTCTGGGTGAAGTTGGGGCTGGAGGTTTAGGTTTGTTTGAGCTTAGGCAGAAAGTTAGTGAGTACAAGGGTGTAGATGGCCTCCTAGGCCAAGTGAGGACCCATGTAGTGCAGGGCAGGGGCCAGGCTTGTGTGTTGAGATCATCCCTCCATTGGCGGGTGGATGATGGATTAGGTGAGAGCAAGACTAGAGACTGGGAGGCTGCCAAGACTCTGAGGAGATGACTAGACCCTAAACTGGCAATGTGGCATCAGGACAGTCACATGTTCATCATTATGTGTGAAATCTGTGAATAGCCAAAAGGAAAGTTTACTTTATTTTTTGTTTTATTTTCTGAGATTGTATTCTAAACATGATCAGAAGGTAGGCATGTGAAATTTACTCCTTCTTCTGACATTTTTAAGCTCAGCATATTTCCATTTTTTATTTATATTATAAACAAAATTTTCTTTAAACTTTCCTCCAGAAGTGATCAAAGTTTGATTTCTTGGATAGTCCTCCCTCTATGCAAAACTTATTATCTAACTTGGTAGTCTGAACTCCTTTATAAATTCTGTAGCTAAACCTTACATAGTGTTCAGTTGTCCAATTGACATTTTTATAAGCTTGCTTTTTGTTACTGTCATAATCCGCTCAGCTCTTATAAATGCCTTCGCCCGCTTTCCAAATGCCATGGCTTCTGCAGTGATATTTGCACCTGTGGTGTTATGCTGGCAAGTGGCTTCATGTCCTTAAGGTCTTAAAATACCTCTCCTCTCTCCTTCCCTCCCCTGAAAAGGAAGCTTGTCTGGGAACTGGTTTGCTTAAGGTGGTAGCTTCACTTCTCTTAATTTTGTGTAGATGTAATTAATTACACACTCATACAAGGAGTAAATCAAAGAAGGGTTTTGGGGATCATCTGGTTCTGAGAGAAATGATAGGCAGGAATTGACAAGTAGGTTAAGGTAAATTATTAATAAAACACTCACCACTGCCATATAGTACAGAGAGAAATGATGCCACAACCATTTTAAATTATGTAACTCCAGTTTTTATAGGATATGAATCCTGGACAACCATCAGGCTTAGGCCAAAAGCCATGGAAGAGAAACCAACAGCAGTTTCAGTAAACGGAGTCATCTTGAACTATGGATGTAAACCATAATCATTTCTTAGTTGTAATTGGGACATCTTCTTTTCCCAGTAATTAACTATTTGTGATTCTTGCATTTCCTACCAACGCCTAGCGTCACTCTGTGTTTTTACAATGGACAGTTGTTAGCGAGGCTTCATGCCTTACTTAGGCTAACAAGCCTTTATCCTTAATCAATCCAGCAAATATTTACACTGCACTGCCCTTACAGCACATTCTCTGGAGCATACAGTAGTGCCCTCACCCCACAAGGCACTTACAGGCTCTTAGAAGAGTTTGCAGCCCTTCCCAGCATAACTGAGAGCAGCAGGTTTGGCTGATGGAGTAACCACTATAGCTGTGGCGGCCTGTCTTGTTAGGGAAAGAAGTGAGCATTTCATGAGAGTAGGCGCTATGCCATTTCATATACATCCACTCATTTAATAAAAAGCTAACCTGTGAAGTTAGAATGTGTTCAAAATGTATCACTTGCTTTTTATTCTATATTATGGAAATAACCCATGTTGAATTACTTAACAGTTACCCTGAATTGAAATCCTCTCTTTATAAACATGTCCCAGTTGATATCTAAAGCTAATCTGATGCGGAGTATATTAGTAAATGGGGAAAGGCGGTAAATCATGGCGCAGATGTAACGTAATAAAAACCTCATGTTTGTGCTTTGTGTGCAGAATTTGCGAGGAAAAAACTTAAATAGGTTGAAAGACTTTTGCTAAAAGAGTTTTCAGAACGTTGCTCAAGGAATGTACAGAAAATTGACTTCCCTTGTCCTTTTTTTAGATACATTCCACCGTTGATCTGGGGGAAAAGTGGACACATCCAGACAGCCTTGTATGGGAAGATGGGAAGGGTGAGGTCGCCACATCCTTACGGGCACCGGAAGTTCATCACCATGTCTGATGGAGCCACTTCTACATTCGACCTCTTCGAGCCCTTGGCTGAGCACTGTGTTGGAGGTGAGCTGCTTTAGGTTGTGTAATTGGGCCATCACTCGGAGGAGGAGCCCTAGTCGGTGGAGAGCACAGCACGGTGTGAATATTCATGCCACTGACTCCGCCCGTGGCATCGGGGGGCTGTTGGGAAGTCTGCCGGGATTCAGCGCTTAGGAGCCGCTCGCAATTAGCTTTAGCTTGTATTTGGCAGTCACCATGTAAAGCTCTTCAGAACTCACTGTAGAATAGTTTTTAATCCTCTTGTGAAATACAGAAATTTGATGTTAGGGGATTAGGGAGTGCTTGGAGCCCAGGCACCCCAGGACCAAGCCTCTGGGTTGATGACAGCAACAGAGGCCAGACTGTTCTCAGTGCTTCATATGTACTGTTACCTCGTTTAATCCTCAATACTGTGAGGCTGGTATTTACTATCGCCGCTTTACTGATGAGGAAAGTGAAGCTCGGAGATGCAGTATAGGCTGGTGTTTGTTGGACAGCAGTAGATAAAAAGGATGTGGGTTTCCCTGGACAAAAAGACACGTTAAGGTCATTATCTATCATGCAGTGGTCTAGGACACCTAATTTCTGAGAAACAACTGAAATTTTCATTGCTGCTGGAATTTGGCATTGTTCTGTCTAGCCTGCACAGTAAGCATTCATTATAAAATGCTTCATAATGAAGACTTTTGAGGAAGTGGGGTTAGGTGCATGCATCCGTTTGAATGCTATTTCTACCAGAAGAGAACATGTCTTTTGCATTCTGTAGTATTCAAAAGCACCTAGTTTTTTGTTGTTGTTGTTGTTTTTCTATAGGAGCTCAGTATTTATTTATGGGTAAACTCCAGGAAACATATTAGATATTTACAGTGGCTAGAACTGCTGAGTAGCTGGTAAGAAGATTTAATTGATATTTCCTCTGCCTGGAATGCTGGTCCCCAGATCTTCACATGGCAGACTCCTCCTGTCATTCATGTCTCAGCTCAAATGCCACCTCCTCAATGGGTCCGTCCCTAACTCCCCTAACTAGTGTCTCCTCAGCAAATTCATCTTGCCTTCCTGCTCTAATTCTTCATGGTAGCTTCTACTCTCTAAACCTATTTGTGTGCTTGTGTGTTATTTATCTGCTAGAATGTAGGAATCCCTGGAGTCCAGAATAGCTGGCTTCTAATAAACAGTCATGGAAGGGATGAATAAATGAATAGGCGAGGAGCTCACATTGTGTTTATAAATCTGTAGCTGGTCTGTCCAATATTTATTTATCCACCATACCCAGTTAAATATTTTCTTTCCCTTATTTCTAATGCTTTTTCTTCTTCTACCACTAACGCACAAAGTTTACTTTGACCATCTGCTCTTCCCACCAAGACCAATATGGGAAGTTGAAAAGGGCAGAACAGTGATTCTCCCTTTTACTTGCTCATTATTTTCCATCACTCCTGCCCTCAGAAATGATTGACAAAGGTGCTTCTGGGGAGGGCAGTACTTATACCTAAGACGTACTCTAAGAAAAACAGCCCTTTTTCTCCTTTTCTGATTGTTTTCTGACTATAAAAGTAGTAAAAAAATCCACATTTTCTCATTTTAGAAAACATGGATAATACATCTAAAAAATAAGAATCACCCACAATTTTACCACCCAACATATATTGTTAATGTTTTGCTCCATTTTCTTACACTTCTATGCATTGTTTTTCCAAAATTTGAATTATCATACATTATATTATAAAGACTTTCCCATGTCATTAAAACTGTAAAAGTCTTCAAAAACACAATTTTAATGATTACTTAGTATTCTACAATGTGGTCATACCTTAATTTAACCATTCTTCTGTAGTTGGGCATTTAACTTATTTACAGCTTTGTCACTATCAATAATTCTATCATCCTTCATCAGAAAATTCTAGGCAGGATTTCAAGAATTGGAATTTACTATGTCAGAGTTTATTCATTTTATTTGTTTATTTATTTTTGAGATGGCGTTTCGCTGTTGTTACCCAGACTGGAGTGCAATGGCGTGATCTCGGCTCACTGCAACTTCTGCCTTCTGGATTCAAGCAATTCTCCTGCCTCAGCCTCCCAAGTAGCTGGGACTACAGGCGCGCACCACCGTGCCCAGCTAATTTTTGTATTGTTAGTAGAGACAGGGTTTCACCTTGTTGACCAGGATGGTCTCGATCTCTTGACCTCGTGATCCACCCACCTCGGCCTCCCAAAGTGCTGGGATCATGGGCGTGAGCCACCGCACCTGGCCTAGTTTATTTATTTTATAAAGAGATGGAGTCTTACTGTGTTGCCCAGGTTAGAGTAAAGTGACTGTTCACAGATACAGCCATTGTGTTCTGCAATCTTAAACTACAGGGCTCAGGTGATCCTCCTGCCTCAGCCTCTCAAATAGTTGTAATACAGGTATGTGCCACCACATCCAGCTATTTACAAAATTTTTAAGGTTCTTTATGCTTATTGCAAAATTGCTTACTAATTCCTATTTCCCTACCAGCATTAAGAATTTCTAAGTTTTAAAAAATCTTAATTTGAAGAAAAATAATGATCAAATTTAATGACCTAAACACCCCTTTTTTTAAAAAAAGAAAAATATAGGCTGGGCGTGGTAGCTCATGCCTTTAACCCCAGCACTTTGGGAGGCCAAGGTGGGTAGATCACGAGGTCAAGAGTTCAAGACCAGCCTGGCCAAGATGGTGAAACCCCCATCTCTACTAAAAATACAAAAATTAGCTGGGTGTGGTGGGAAGTGCCTATAATGCCAGCTATTCAGGAGGCTGAGGCAGAGAATTGCTTGAACCGGGAGGCAGAGGTTGCAGTGAGCCGAGATTGCACCACTGCATTCCAGCCTGAGTGACAGAGTGAGACTCCATCTCAAAAAAAAAAAAGAAAGAAAAGAAAAATATAGGCCAGGCGCGGTGACTCACACTTGTAATCTTAGCACTTTGGGAGGCCGAGGTGGGCGGATCGTGAGGTCAGCAGATCTAGACCATTTTGGCCAACATGATAAAAAAAAATTGCTGGGTGTGGTGGCACACACCTGTAGTACTACCAGCTACTCAGGAGGCTGAGGCAGGAGAATCTCTTAAACCTGGGAGGCAGAGGTTGCAGTGAGCCAAGATTGCAAGACCCTGTCTCAAAAAAAGAAAAAGAAGAGAAAAAGAAATATTCATATTTTGAAGTAGGCAATTCATAGTCATGATAGAAAGTTCACAAGGTACTAACAATATACAGTGAAAGTGTCTCTCTCTGTCCTCTACTCTCTATCCCTACCCCTCAGTGGTACCCACTGTCAAGGTTCTTGTATGTGATTCCAAAGATAGTGGATGCATTGATAAATATAGACATCTTTTTTTTTCTCCACACAAAAGGCAACATTATTATAACCCCTTTCTGCATTTAGCATTTTTTCACTTAATTTATGGAAGAGCGTGCCACATTAGTATATATAAAAATGTCTCATTATTTTTAAGGGCTTTATAACATTTCATCACTTAGATAGGCAATAATTTATCCAACCAGAGCCCTATTTCTAGACATTTAAATTATATTCAATCATATGCAAAAGAATATGTATTGTATGATTGAACACAGCCTAATACATATATATACATTATATTATCTGTAGGACATTGTTTTACATATGTACAATTATAGATCTGTAGGACAAATACCTGAAAGTAAAATTGCTGGGTCAAAGAGGTCTGTGCAAACACCACTTTTTATTTTTTCATTTATTCATTCATATAGAATTTCTTACAGAAATTAAGAGTAATGTTCAGGAACTTTTATAGAAATGTGAGAGAGTAATTTTATATTTGTCAAATCTTATAATAGAAATTTGAGGTTTACATATTTTTCATTTCATTTTTCTAGTAATTAATTTTTCATTGTCTTTTTCAAAAGTATCTGTTTCTGATTTACTGGACATTTTCAAAACCAATCCTTCACTATAAATAGCTTAAGAAGCACTGATATAGACAGCTCCAGCTAGAAGGGAAAGATTCCCAGAGAATTGAATGAAAAGACATACATTGAATGAAAAGATGTATGTTGAAGTCCCTCCCCCTGTTGTCTAAGCCAGTGAAATGTAATTGTGTTCATTTATCATGTCACATTTATTGGATACATCAGGATCTCTTTCTCCACCCTATAGATGATATCACCATGGTCATCTGCCCTGGAATTGCCAATCACAGCGAGAAGCAATACATCCGCACTTTTGTTGACTATGCCCAGAAAAATGGCTATCGGTGTGCCGTGCTGAATCACCTGGGTGCCCTGCCCAACATTGAACTGACCTCACCACGCATGTTCACCTATGGTAAGCATGGCTCAGTGGAGTCCTCCCTTTTTCTGCAAGTGTGCTGCTACTTCTGCTTCTGCCTTGTTTTCTTAAGTTTTAAACGTATGCCCATCTGTAGGAGATGGTAGATCACACGGTTATATCAACAGCCAACTTGTAGTAGGCATTGATGATGCCGTACCTCACACCAGCCTTTGAGGTGGGCACTGTAACCACCCTATCTCACAGAGGCAGAAACTGAAGCTCACAGGGGAAAGTCTTGCCCAAGGTCTCCTAGCTAGTAAGAGTCACAGCAGGGCTGGGAGCCAGGTAGATTAGGTAGCAGAGTTCATGCGCTTCAGGACTGTGCTATTCTGAAACTCATTCCTCGGGACTCTTACAACTGGCAGGCAAGGGTGTGATGAGGCCTGTGAATGTCAGTGGGAAGGGAACCTGGCACGGTAGCAACTCAGTTGGATTTTAGGTTCCTAGGGGACAGAAACTAGATCTCGTATTTAGACAAATGCTTCTTGATTTGAATTAAAATTGTGTGTTAGCGGGGCCAGGTGTGGTGTCTCATGCCTGTAGTCTCTTCTCTAGTAATTAATTTTTATTGTGTTTTTTAAAAGTATCTGTTCATGACTTACTGGACATTTTCAAACTAACCCTTCACCATAAATAGTGCACTTTGGGAGGCTAAGGCAGTGGATCACTTGAGTCTAGGAGTTCGAGACAAACCTGGCCATGATGGCAAAACCCCGTCTCTTACTAAAAATACAAAAATTAGCTGGCGCATGCCTGTAATCCCAGCTACTTAGGAGGCTGAGGCACAAGGATCGCTTGAACCTGGGCTGCAGAGGTCACACCACTACACTCCAGCCTGGGCAATAGAGCAAGACTCTGTCTCAAAAAAAAAAAAAAATCCTGTGTTAGCTAAGTTCTGGGTTCTGCACTGCTCATTCTTGATTCTTATTAGCTCTCTGTTTAGATTATATATGCACACATAAATAATAAACACATAAAATATGCATCTGTATACGCACAAATGTTTGGGATATTATAAGCAAATAAATTGTAATACGTTTTAATGGGAAATAACAAAAAATTACATCTATCATCTCACCGTAACTGTAATTTCTATTTCTTCAAACTACCCTTTTGTCTTTATCAATGTATACATAGTTTTTATTTATTGCAGTCGTAGTGTGTATATCTATGGTGATTTTTAAAAATAACTTTATATTCACCAACATAAAGATGTTTAATCTTTTTAAGAGCCACATTGCTGTTACTGCTCTGTTATAGTTTATTTAACCATTTATCTTTGTAGGACATACGGGTTATTTAAAGTTTTTTGCATTTTAAATAACAGCACTATAAATACTATATCTTGTACATAGAATTATTTTTTCTTAATGACCTTGGAGTAAATTCCCAATAGAACTGTGGAGTCAACATTTTTTAATGCATATTTGTACATCTTGTCAGATTGACCTCCAGCGAGGTCATTCCAGTTACATTGCCATTAGTAATATGCAATAGCAACGTCTCCATAAGGGCAGGAAAGGGAAGGTCACAGACATGGAAGCATAAACAGGTACACCTGCTTTGTGCCAAGCAGGATGCCGGGCGCTCTGAGTTCATTTCCTCTTCTGTATTCACACCCACAACTGAAGATACCCATTTTATAGACTGTTCTGTTCAGCAGTTTGGTCAGTAGCTTGAAAATACAGGTGAATATCTAGATTTACAGATAACACAGGCACTTGGGGGAATAGTGAGTACATGGAAGACAGAATTGGACCCAAAAGTCAGAAATAGGCCAAGTCGAACACCAAGGAAACAGTGGGGAATAATGATAAGGTCTTGTATTTGGATATTTAGATCGTCTATACAAGTAGAAGATGGAGAGCCATGGCTTGGCTGCCAGGCCAGGATGGAGATTTGGGAGCATAATACAAGAAATGTGCCAACAATAATACAAGAAACGCCGGTGAGAATACTTAATGTACACCAGACACAGTGATGGTTTCACATGTAGTAGGCACAAGCTCTTATCTCCACAGCAACCCATGGGACAGTAAAATTCTGATGAAAAAACGGAGGCACAGAGATGTGAAGTGATTTGGGCAGGGGCATAGAGCCAGTAAGGAGAATAGCTAAGGAGCTTGGATCTGGTTGCCAGAATCATCTCAGAGACAGCAGAGTAGCTGGGTCTGTATGGTCTAGGCCTCCCAGCCCCAGAGTGCTATACTATGGGGCTGTAGACCAAAGAGACCAGACTGTAAGGCATTACCAGACCTGGTCAGGGGAGTCCAGCAGCCGAAGCAGCAGCAAAGAGTAGGCTAAGTACAGCCCATGCTCACAGAGAGTACCCAGGTCAGGAGACAGGCTCTGGATCCGATACCCCAGCCCTGCCACTGACGCTGTGTGGCCTCGAGCAGTTTCTTAAACTCAGTTGCAGATTCTTCAGCTGTAGTAAGGTGGAGCTACAATTAAATGTGGGTTACTGAGGATTTGGCAAGCAGTTGATTAACACAGTAAACATTTATTATATGTTAGGTTCATTCTTTTTGTTTTTTTTTTTTTGAGGCAGTGTCTCACTCTGTCACGCAGGAGGGAGTGAAGTGAAACAGTTGTGCCTCATTGCAGCCTCAACCTCCCAGATTCAAGCGATCCTTCCTCCTCATTTTTTAATTTTTTGTAGAGACAAGGTCTCACTATGTTGTCCAGGCTGGTCTTGAACTCCTGAGCTCAAGCAGTCCACCTACCTTGCCCTCCCAAAGTGCTGGGATTACAGACCTGAGCCATGGTGCCATCCAGGTTTATTCTTATTCAAATACTTGAAGGCGTATTAATGTTGGTGAGAGATTAGCCATGCTCTTTGTGACCTAGATAAGTAAGATGTGTTCTGCAGGGGAGAGTATCATTAAAGAATTACAATACAAGGCCAGATGTGGTGGCTCACACCTATAATCCCAGTGCTTTGGGAGGCCAAGGCAAGCAGATTACCTGAGGTAAGGAGTTGGAGAATTAGCCAGGTATGGTGGCAGACACCTGTAATCCCAGCTACCTGGGAGGCTGAGGCAGGAGAATCACTTGAACCCAGGAGGCAGAGGATGCAGTGAGCCAAGATTGCACCCCTGCACTTCAGCCTGGACCACAGAAGGAGACTCTGCCTCAAAAAAAAAAAAAAAATTACAATTCAGTGTGATGAGTGGACTAATAGGGCAGGCCTGGGGAATGTGCTGCAGTGGAATGGAGAAACCAGCCTGGCTCTGTGGGGGACTCGTCAAGCTGTGGAAGGAAGAATTCTCCTAGGAAAGGCATTTGAGCTGGGCCCTCAAAGATGAGCTCCTAAATAGAGGCACTCGTAAATAGCTGGAGTTATAGACAGAGGGGAGTGGGTTTGGGAGGGCAACCCATGCAGAAGAGCAGCGTGCACCGCTGCCTTGAGAGCACTGTATGTTTGGAGAATGAACAACCCTTGATATGAGGCAAATCCATCAGCGGAGAGCTTCAGGCCCCCAATTTTAAAAATTAACCATTTCCTTTAGTTTGTGGATGACGTTGTTACATTTTATTTCATCAGAAGTTTAGAAGTAAATTTCTATAGTTTGTTATACTTTAGAAATTTTCTAGAAAGACAGGTGACCTAGAAAAAAATGGGTGTTTTCTTCTAGCCATACTATTTGTTTTTTTGTGTGTATTCGTACACCTTTTACCTGTTGATAGTTTCTTTTAGCCATTGGAGATGTGATCAAACGAATATGACTTAAGGTCAGAAATCCAGAATTTGTATGCGTTGTTGAAATGTAAAAATTAAGACATCTTTGGTAGCTCCAAAGAACCTAGATAGAGAAAGCAGTAGTGTTTTGTTAGGTGCTATTGATGTGATTTTAGTTTAAAACAATGTTTCTAATAAATGTTTTCCTGAGCTGGTGAAAAAGGAGCAATCCTTCACCAAAGGTGCCCTAACACATTGGAGCAAAGCCCACGTTTGTTACCTTTGACTGGTCAGTTGAGGCAGGTCAACAGTTTACGTGCTAGAACTGAAAAGCCTTTATCCTAGTTAATCATGTCTTTATGTAAGTGTGTTAGTGGTTGACACATGAGCTTTCTGTACTTTAGTTCAGAGATCTTTGTCAACTTTTGTTCCTATACCCAGTACTGTTCTCAATTTTTAATTACTGTTGCCTTGCAATATGGCCTGACATCTCATAGTAGCAACCCTGACTCATGGCTCTTCAGACTATGCTCTTGTCTCCCTGCCTATGTTTTTCATTTGAGCTGCAGATTATTGCATCAAGTTCTATGCTGAGTTTTTGTGTTAGTCAGGGTGGACTAGATTATGCTGTGGAAACAAACAACTTGAATCTCAGTGGTTTAAAACAATGATTTCTGTCCACACTATGCATCCCTCATGGCTTAGCTGGGGGGCCTCTGTGCCTCCATCATGATGGTCCTCGCTCAAGGAACCAGGCCTATGGAGCAGCTACCCGCTGGAACATTGCAGAGAGTGGGAAGAGTGTGGCTCTTGAAGCTTCTGCTCAGAAATGACAGAGGTCACTCCTGGTCACAATTTATTGATAAAGTACAGTACACAACCAAGCCTAACTTCAGTGAGGTGGGGGAGACGCATCCTTCCTAGGGATGGAAAGTAGTTATTGGTGGTGAACTTTCGCACAGTTTATCACAGTTTCTGAAGGGAACTTTAATTTATAAATTAATGTGGAAAGATTTATAATACTTTTCTCATCCAGGAGCATGGCCTTTTCCTTCAAGTCTTCCTTTATTTCTCCTTAAAAGAATTTCTAGTTCTCTTTGTGTAGGTCAGTTTATCAACATTAGAATTCCTGTGGGAGCTTTTGTTTTGTTTTGTTTTTGTTGAGACAGAGTCTCACTGTCGCCCAGGCTGGAGTGCAGCGGCATGATCTCGGCTCACTGCAACCTCCGCCTCCTGGATTCAGGGGATTCTTCTGCCTCAGCCTCCCAAGTAGCTAGGACTACAGGCACACAGCACCACACCCAGCTGATTT